CAGCAGGAGGGGAAGGGACCGTCCTGGAGGAGACCAAAAGGAGTCAGCCCTTAACTGTGTTCGTAGCCGAGGGCAAGGCTTGCCTCTTCCTGCCGTGGTGGCATCTTAGGATGGGCACACAGCTGGGGACATGGGGGCAGGGAGCCTATATAGGAAGCAAGCAGAAAACGTTCGTGCAAAAAACAAGGGAGGCCAGGACAATATTTGCCCCTGGTATCTGTGGGGTGCTCAGATCGCAGTGGCTGTCCAGCACTGTCAGCGTCCACAGCCACCAGTTTCTTCTCCACCTTTGATAGCGAGCTCCCACGTGGGTGAAGACTTTGCCCCTCGTGCGGGACCACTTGCGCACTCCTGCGTTTCCTCTGCGGGCGAGTTGTTGCAGTCGTTGCCAGGCCATTGTAAATCAGCCTTCGTCCATCCCGCGGTCGCCAGCGCCATGCTCCCTCGCATCAGTGGGCACGCCACGTTTTCTAGCGAAGACACCCGGTCTCGGGAGAGAACATCCTCACGCTGGCACATTGCAGCTGCCCTGGGGCACCCGCCCCGGGAGTGGCGAGGGGTGAAGGTGGAGCCCGCCTGGCAGACGTGCTAAGGGCAGAGCTGCTAGCTAGGACCAGAATAGCACGGGGTGAGGCGCGCTGGTTCGAGTTCCCCCCCTCCCCGGCTGTGTTGGCAGGCCGGCTTTTTCAATCCCTGTCAGCAGCCTGTCGCCCGGGCTCATCAGTGCCGTGGCATTGAACGCTTCCTGGCTTGTCCTGCCCCCGTGCCCGACCCCTGACGTCTGTGTCGCTCCTTGGGAGCGTTTTGTTAACAGCAGCTAATGAGTCTCCGGGAGCCGGCGGTGTGACTGAGCACGCACGGGGCCAGGGCACGGACAGGGAGGTGCACTCGGCAGGGGGCACGGCCTGCAAACCAGAGCCACCCAGGGAGAGTGGCAGACATCCCCAGCTCTTCCCCCACAGCCCTTCCTCTGCCCAGTGACTTTGCCACCCAGCACCTCGTCCCCTGCACAGCAGGTGTCTTGGGGTTGCACTCGATCCCCTGTTTTCTAGGCAAGCCTCATTGGCATCCTAGGAGCAGAGCCACAGGGTCGTGATGGGCAAAGGCTGCCCAAAACAGTCTGGCAGTGGGTGCTGGGGAAGGGACCAGGTGATGCATTTTGGTGGCTGGCTCGAGTTGGGAAACTCCACCTGTTCTTGGGAAGGCAGCATTACATGCTAACCCCTCTCCACCTGCAAAATCTTCCCCCCGCCCACCTTCGGTCCTGCCCATCCTTCATCGTTCCCAGTCACCTGGCTAGAGGCAGGCAGAGCTGGACCCCCAGCCCTCTCTATATCGGGCCCCCGGACGCATCCTGGCAGCGCAAGGCCCTGCCTTGTATGGTAGCACAGGGGAGCCAGCACAGAGGGCTCTCCAAAGTTACCCCGAGTGAGAGAATCGGCTTGGAATGACATCCAGCTCACATCCCCCTTGTGAACGAGGTGTAAAATATTTCCTTGCTCTTTTTAGGTAAGAATGCAGGAGCGCGGAGCTGGCCAGCGGGGAGCGGTGCTATGCAGGGCTGCTTCCAGCCGCCTTTCCTGGGAAGGGGACAGCAATCTCTGCCTGAGAGAGAGAGAGAAGGGGCCTGGTTTAGAGAAGCTCTAAACCGCTCAGGCATTTTTTCCTTTATTAGCGCCGTCAACAGAGATGTCAAACGAGATGAAGTGTCACATTAGCCGTGTGCCCTCCGAGGAGCGAGCCATGGGGACGGGCTCGGCCAGGCTCAGCAGAGCAGATGGAGAGCTGGGACTGGGGACGGCTCGGGGCCTGGTAAACCCATTGCACCCCCCTAGCCTTTATAGCAGGAGAGAGCACTTCGGTCTCCAGCCCAGCTCCCTTCCCCCTTGCGGTTTGGCTTGACTTGATGACCCAGAAGAACGCGGGTGTCTGGTCCGGGCCCAGTTCAAAGCTCTCCAAGTATCCGAAGGGTGGAAATTTCCTTGACGGGGAGGCTGGGATATTTTGGGATGTAAATAAGGGTAAAGGGGCCCAGCTGGGCAAAGGGAAACCTCACACTGAATATTGGATTGCTTCGCAGGAGCACCAGTGCTCAGGTCATTGAACACTGGATATAGGGCAAGGCCCTTGGAATTAGACCGTAGGGAACAGTCCATGCCTGGCATTTAGACGGCGTAGATGAGCTAACGTGTCTCCTGTCTCTGACTCCAGTGACCCCTTCTCTAACCTGTTGACCTTTCTCGCTGTTCCCAGCGGGTTCCCAGTTACTGCCATACTCACGTGTGTCTTTCAGGAGGGAAGCAGCCTGGGTCCACGACGATGGAGAGGTGCCCGGACCCTCCAGAGCGGAGCAGGAGGTCAAGTTTTGGAGCGACACAGAGGCCCCCGGCACCAGCAGGCTCCAGAAGCTGCCGTCCTTCATCTCTCTGCTGTCATCCAGCTCCCCGAGTGACGAGGCCCGCAGACCTGAGAGGGACAAGGCAGGAGAGGACACAGGTACAAGGCTGCTGTTCTGGGTAACGCTCTCATGAGCTCTGGGGCTCGCTCTGGTTGTCCAGACCTAAGCACGAGCGTTGCATCTCAGCGTTCGTTGCTTTTGCTGCCTCAGTCACACAGGACCACTGCTGTTTCATAATTGGTAGGGGCTGGAAGGGACCTTGCCGATCGTCGGGTCCAGCCCCCCTGCACTTGGGCAGGTGCTTCAGGGCTGCTGCTGCTTCAGTCCTACACACCTCACCCCTCACTCCCCCTCTCCCCAACCCTGACCTTGGCTTCCCCTCCCTTCCCACTCCTGTACCTCAGTCCTCACCTGTTGCAGCACCTGTGCTGCTCTCACATGCCTGAATGGTGGCCTAGGGCTTTGATGGCACCAAAGCTTCATTAGGGGTTACCAGACAAATTGCATTTGTCCACTTGAGCTGGACATCACCAAAAGTGGACCCGGTCCTTTGCTTCGCTCTTCCATTTCTGTGCGGCGAGAGCTGGGTGAGCTGGGTGCAGACCCCTCCTTTCCTTGTCCTGTGTGTTACCTCCAACCTGCTGCCCCATGCTCTAGGTGAGCGCCCTGCTGTCAGTCACCGGCTTCCAGCGTGTGTTTGAGACGCACGTACGTCCTTTCCAAACGTAAGGAGGCAGCAGGGTGGTTCAGGGAGCTGCTAAGACACCTGCCAGCATTTACTGTTGGGACTGAAGGCTGCTTTGTGAGAACACCCACTCATTCGGGGTCGAGACAAGTAGCATTAAGCCCCGATGAATGGGTGGAGGCGCTTCTGCTGTCTGTAGGATATAGACGGGGTCCCAGTCCAGTTCTTATGGAGCAGCAAGCACAGAACTAAGATCAGCGCCATTTCTTTTGCCGTGCACTCTTCTCCCTTTCATTGGAAAATGTTTGTCGGGATTTGAGGTTGTTCTTGGAGGTGAGGACAGGGCCTGACCTGTGCTCGTCTGTAGGGATGTGGGACCAGAAAGGTCTGCCGTCGTCCCTGGGGCAACTGCAGGTGAGCGTGCTCGACACAATAAGTCCATACAGGCCTCACAAGCCCATCCCCTCAGTAGCCCTGTCCCACAACCCAGGAAGCACCCCTAATACCTGACAATAACCTTGGGCTCCTTCATATACAAAACTAAAGGCCTCCGAAAGTCCAGCGTGCGAGAGAGTAAAGCAGGTTTAGCTGGAGGGCATAGAAATAGCTAGGCTCGTCCCAGCACATTTTGCCTAGGAAGTAGATTGTGATCCCAGCAACAGAGGAAGGCAGAAATACCTCCGTAGCCCTTGCCAAGCTGACTTGGGGGATGACAGATACGTAGGCCATGTGTCTTCGGGGTCATCTGCCTTTCAACAGCATGCGGAAAAGGTGCCGGGTAGGACATTTTGCAGCAATCACTCCGAGCACCGATGTCAACTCCTGTGCTAAGATACGGTGTTCGGTGTTGTGTGCCCCGGAAGGGAGAGGGTGGAGGTGAACAGTCGTCCTGCTGCCAACATAGGAGCGGCGCTGACCCAGTCCCTGGGGAACCTCTCCATTTCTTCTCTGCCAGGAGCCAGCCATCACAGCTGGGAGACTGCAGGGCAGCAATGGGAAGGTGATCTGTCCCGCTTCCCTTGCCCTGGGAATGGCTCTTGTGGAGTAGCTGTGACGTAGCCTGCGTCTTTATTCAGAGGCGCTTGAGGATCATCTGCTTTGCTGCATAGTCAGTAGGACCGGACAAAAGTGTTTTCAGCGCGTTCGTTGGAAAACGCAGCGGGGAGGTGGCCAAAACGATTTGTGAATTCAGGTTGACCTTGGGGAATTCAGCCTGTCGGAAAGGAGGAAAGAAAAGCCCAGAGGAAGATGCTGGCGACGTGCTCTGAAACGTACCCAACTCTTCAGAAAGAAAAAAAGAAAAAAGCAAAACTGTTCGATAACCTGAAGAAGCAGTGTTTCCTTTGACATTGAACTTGGCGCTTCGACTGACCTGCGGCAAAACGGTGTCGTTTCACCAATTTCGTTGCAATCCTTTAGCTCCCGAGGGAGGTGTAGGGTCTGCTGAGCAGCTCGGAAGACTTCCCCGGGACTCTGTGATCATCAGTCACCTCGAGGGCAAGCGGGGCTGGACGGCACCTGCAGAGCTCACATCTAGTCCGAGCCCTGCCTGAGGCAGGGTCAGCCCTGTGCAAACCAGCCCAGACAAGCCATCGTCTAAGCTCTACAAAAGACTATCATGGTGATGGCTATGATGCTGGATTGTAATTGTAATGGGGAACAGGGCGAAGAGAGAGGATCTTGAGAACCTCGCTGGGGGCTGGAAAACTCTCGTGTGCAGACCACTCCTTTCAGAAGTTGCTGTGTGGCAAGGGCTGATATTTCGAGGCCATCTTCAGTCCTTCCCATGGGGAGGACTGAGGATGCCCTTGAAATATCAGAGCAGCCAGCTGCACAGCCTCCCTGAGTGGGGCAAGGGATTTTGCTGTGATAATTGTGCCAGAGTTTCATTGAAAGGGTGGGAAGCGGTCGCTTACTCCGGAGAACCCGTCTGCTCTGGAGATAAGGACCGAGTCTCTCTGGTTTACCATAGAGGTGTGATTCCCGGAGAAACAAGCATTGAGGGTGAGGAGAGGCTATACACGTAAAGGCCTAGCATATTGCAGAGGTATCGCTCAGCCGTGTGTCTGGGTTTACCGTTTTAGTCCTTGTTGTAATCCCCAGCCCAGCGTCAGAGGCTGCCAGAAGACCCCGTTCGGTTCATAACTCTTCATGAAGGCTACCGGAGCATGCTCTGCGTGTGTTGGGGGTCACCGGGGAGGAGCAGGATTGCAAAAGTGTTATGGCAGGAGGGAGAAGAGAGGGTCCAGAACGAAGCAGGGTAGAGGATCCAGGAGTCGCACTTGAACCTGCTTAGACAGCAAGTGCTCTGAGGCAGGGATTCTCCCTTGGTTATTCCTGTGTGCATAACATGGATCGCCATGGGGCCTGGGCCTCCGCCACGTCCCACAATACAATTAACAGCTTAACCCAACTAGAAGTGGTCCCTGTAGGAGGAGGCCAGATCTCCTTTGGCATGCACTCTGGTATGCACGGATGGGTAAGATGTACCTCTCTGACATCCGCAGCTCCGATTGCACCCAGAGGCACTCAGGTGTGTTGGCTGCTCCTCTCTCCCCTTCCTGTGCTCTTCTGTGCTGTAGTTGGGCTAAAGAATGAAACCAAACGGGTGCTGAAAGGTAGGTATTGGTACCTAATCTGCTCAGGCAGGTACCCTGATGGCTGGAGGCACCTCATGTATCTCATGGAAGTAAGGCGTCCCGGCCTGCTTGGGTGGACGGGTCAACCGGGGACTGGAGCAAGAGTCAGCCAGAAGTTCAGATGAGCCCCTTCTCCTCCTCCCTCGCTCTGCTGCACGGACCTTCAGAGCAATGTCAGCCTTGGCGGTAAAGTGTAAAACCCGCGCCAAGGCCAGGAGGCTCCAAGACATCCCGAGGCTGTGTGGAAAGAAGGATTCCCGGGATTAGCAGCATAGCCCTGGCGTTGCTGGCGTGCGAGCTCCTGGAAGGCCGGCTGCGTGGTCATGTGCTATTGAAATGCAGCGCAACAGGAGCACGCTCCAGGCCATGCCCTTTCAGCAAGGATCACTGCCTCTATAAAGGCTCTGTGATGCTTGGCTTCCCTTTTGAAGCACAGTGATTTCTTCCTCCCCCCTCTTGGCCCTGTTTCAGCTCCTTTTGATCTCGGTGGCAGGGCGGCTGCTGTCTGTTGCAGGGAAGTGCTCTTGAACCAGCGAGTTAATCTGGCTTCTTTATCTCTGCCCTGAAGATGGAGCAATTAATCCCCAGAAAAGCAAGCTGCTGAAATGCTGCACGTTGCATTTGTCCGCCTGGAGTAGCTCGATTCCCAGTGGGTCAAAGGAACGGGCATCAGATGGGGGATGAAGATGCACTAGTGGAAAGGGCACCTCCAACCTGGGAGAGGCATTGATTGCGAGCTGCTCTTTGCCCATCACAGAGGAATATTCTTGGTCCTTGCAGAGGGAGAGGCGAGAAAAAATAGCTGGTTCTGCGACTTGTCAACTCTGCCACAATCGTCGGCGCAGTGAAGTGGAGCAGCTCGCTCGTACTTCCCAGCATCTCCCTCCTCTTGCCCATCTCCTGCCCCGTGCTGGGGGGGAACGGCAGTTCTGATGCACCTGCCAGCATCTTGCCTAGCATTTTCCCTTGCTCTCCTCTGGAGGTGAGGGGCAGGGATGCCTTTGGGAGGGGCAGGATTGCCTTGGTCTCCCCTACAGCACCTGTGTATCAGCATCCAGTGTCAGGAGAAGGGACCATGCAAGGAAGCCAGACCTGGGAGTCGCCAGAGCTGGTGGAGGTGAATCAAGGGTAGGAGATTTGGGGACGTGTCAAGGAAGCTTCTTTCTACTCCTTTCCCTCTCAGGCGCACAACTCCCATCTCAGGACCGTGTCCATCTGCCTTGCTGTCATCCCGGAGGTGAGGAGCACAGAGCGGCTGCAGATTGATGAGGAGAGCGGGGCAGCTGGAGCGGCTTTTCCTGTGTTTTACAGGAGCTGAGGCTAACAAGGAAGTGGAAACGTGCAAAAGCCGCCTTAGTTTGCAGAAGAGAAGACAGAGGGGGATTGAATAGCAACCTTCACCTCCCTGCAAGGGGGCTGCAAAGAGGATGGAGCTGGGCTGTTCTCAGTGGGGGCAGATGGCAGGACAAGGAGCAATGGGCTCCAGCTGCAGCAAGGGAGGTTGAGGTTGGATATTAGAAAACACTTTCTGACAAGGAAGGTAGTAACACACTGGAACAGGTTACCCAGAGAGGTGGTGGGATCTCCATCCTTGGAGGTTTTGAAGACCCGGGTAGACAAAGCCGTGGCTGGGACGGTGTCGCTGGGGCTGGTCCTGCCTGGAGCAGGGGGGTGGGCTAGACGTGACCTCCTGAGGTCCCTTCACACCCTCCTTGTCTGTGATTTTACGTTTTGTGCCTGAATGAATCCAGGCCTTGTCGGCACTGCTGTTCACTGAGGGCAGGTGTATCCTCAGCAGGTGCATCCTCAGCAGCCCGTTCAGGGACCCAGCTCCCCTGGTGAAGGGCAAACGGCTGCTTCAGAAAGCAGGAGCAGAGCCGTGCTTGTTACGTGCCGGGGTAACGTGAGGTGGTCTCTTAAGATAAGAGGGTCCCCAGCAGGGAGGGGATTGTGCAAGTTTCAGTTGCGTCTCTTGATACTAGATTTCACAGACGTCGGGGCTGGACGGGACCTCGCGAGATCATCGGGTCCAGCCCCCCGCCCAAGGGGCAGGAAGGCAGCTGGAGTCACATCACCCCAGGGAGATAAGCATCCAAGCGTATTGATGATTAGGTATGTGAGAAATGGTATTTGCCATGCCCCTTTGGCCACTTTGCCTTCTCTTTGCTCACCGATCTATCTCCCTGGGGTTGATCTAACATCCTACAGCCTTGAGTGCCGTCGCACAGCCCTCACACCGGTGCACACCTACGGTCCGCTTGGATGGGGAAAACATTGGCAACAGCCAGTGATCCTTGAAGGTCCAAAATTGCCCAGCCTTTCAGGACTGGCCACAGGAGGTTCATCCCACTGAAGCAGAATATGCTATTCTTTCTCAATTACGTGCAGCATGCCACTATGCCTGTCGGTGCAGCGTGAAATAGGGGATTTGGGATGATTGATCACTCGCTAGTAAAGCAGCCGTCTCCAGTGTCGGCCGATAATGGCGGAGTATTACTCAAGAGTGTTGATCCTGGGCCGTGGAGGGGATTGGCCCAGTCTGGTGACTTTGGGTCTGCTGTGATTTATTTTAGGTGTACGGCTTTGATCCCGCAGTATTTCCCTCCAGGAGTGTAGCCTTGAGATTACGTTGGGGCCTTGGTCCAGTGAGTTTATAGGTGACCTTTAATGAGGATTAAGAGAGAGACACTAGCACGTATTTGCATAGCAAGTGGCTACCTGTGGAGTTTCTGCGGGAATCTGGGCACTTCTCTCTCTAATTTCCTCTTGGCAACAAGTGTGGGCAGAGAGTCGCCAGGGCTTGTTACCTGCGCCCGATGTGCCACCTTCCACTCCCTGCCTGAAGACGGGAGGGGCTTGTTCGGCGTGAAATGCAAGCCAGCGGGGCGGGACGGAGAAGAAAGCTGGTGGTCATGAGGATCGGCGAACCCCCCTGTGAAGCGTCAGAGATACGGAGGATCTCCTGAATGCCCAGATCTGGTCAGCGCTCAGCAGATCTCCCACAGGGAGACAGCGGATGGACTCCCGTGACAAGACCTTGCAGAGAACAAGATTTGGGAGTAAAAGGATGTTTCACACCTGGATGAATTGAATCGTTACGTTCTGGGTAAGACGTCTGACAAGAACGACCTGCAAGCGCCCGTTGGAGGGAAGAGCTGAAAACCCCTGCCCAGGTCAAGCCAGACGGACCTCAGAGACCAGGCCGTCTGCCGCTGGGAAAGCACAAAGACAATCCTCCTCACAAAGAAGAATGGGCGAGACGTGCTGGAAGCATCAGACGGACATCAGGACAGTTTGCTGCCTTGCCGGAGTGAAGACAAAGGAGGTTCGGTGCAAGAACGCCCAAGATGCTGAGGTTGGTCGTGATCCAGCGATGCATCGGACCCTGTTGCATGGATCTGGGGAAACTCCAGGGATTTAGGAAGGAGCTGAAGTCCTTGTTTCCTGAGCAAGAAAAATGAGAAGACAGGATACAGGAGGTGAAGAGCTGGAGAGAAGTGGTTTGTGTGCTGGGGGGGAAGATATTTAGACCCGTTGGAGCTCCTGCTGTGAAGAGCGACGGCTGTGTGGGTCTGATGGACCGTCTCTGTCTCTTGGGTGGTGGACTAGCTAGTGTAACTGGGCAGGCTTTACGCTGACCAGGCAGGGGGGAGTGATACCAAAGAAATCACGATACAAACACCCGGATACGTACACGAGCCTCGCCTGGAGTGCTGTGTCCAGTTCGGGATGTTGTCCTTCAAGAAAGTTGTGGACAAATTAGAGTCAAGCAGGGAGCAGCAAAAATGGGAAGTCTGGGGAATACGACTTACGAGGAAAAGTTGGAAGAATTTGGGATGATGTAGTCTGGGGAAGAGAAGACTGAGTGGGGATTTGATAACAAATACCTGAAGGATGGTTATAAAGAGCACGGGAAACTGGCCACAGAGGACAGGACAAGGAGTAATGGTCTTAGATTGCAGCAAGGGAACTGTAGGTTGCGTATTAGGAAGAACTTCCTTATTCTTGAAGGTGGACACATGCTGGACCAGACTCCCGAGCGAGGTGGTGAAATCCCCATCCTTAGAAGCATTTAAACAAACCCCTGCCTGGGATGGTTTAGACCAGGATGATCCTGCCTTGAGCAGGGGTTTAAACTTGATGCGACCACTCCCAACCCTGTTTTCTAGGATCGAAAGCCTTGAGGCAACATGTGCGCAACAAACCCAAATGAACTTCTCCAGATGTAAGGAATATGCCTTTTAAATTGTCTGCATATTAGTGCTAGGGGACAAGGTAACGAGTGGATTTGGAGATGCCCTTCCATGAGAAGCAACATAATATGGGTGGTAACAGTGAAGCTTGGGGCAGGGAGGAGCGTCTCATGAGTGAAGTGTTAAAATGTCTCATCGTTGGGGGATTTCAGTCTTGAAGACAAAGTCTTAATGAGATCAGAAGTCTGAAGGTGGAGGTTAGGCAAATGCAACCATGGACCAAGATGAAACTTCCTAGGAGCGAGGGCAATTGGACATTGAAGCAGCTTCCCAGGCGGACTTGTCATTGCTGGGACTGTTGAAGACGTCTTTCCAAAAGCCCTGCTTTCATCCATTTTGGGGGGAAATTGCGTATGCCGTGTTTACAGGAGGTCTCGTTCCCGAGTGTCCTTTGAGGGGCGTCGTTATCCCCACCCGTATTTTGTCAGCAGGCAATCCTCGATGCAGAGCAGCGGAGCAAGTTGCCCAGGGCCACTCAGGTAGTCAACTGCTCAGATGGGCTAGGAAACTTGAATGAGTGGGATCTGCCTCGGATCCTGCAGGGCTCCTTTGGGATCTCTCAGAAGTGATCTGGAGAAGTTCTGGAGTGCATTAGAGGGAGTAACCCTGCCTTGGGATGGACTTGGATATCTCAAGAGGTCTCTCAAGGCGTCGTGTTAAGACACAGGCCGCGTTTTCCTAAGCAATGAGCCTCTGCTAGGAGATGGATTAGGCCCAACTCCCCTGAAGCCTTCTCCAGCCCTGGCGTGCGACTTTGGGACTGAATTGATGCTAGTTTTTACCCCTGGGTGACGGCCGTTGCCCTCATACATCAGCTCTGACTTCTTTCCCCACCACCAACTTCGCTTCCCTGCGATTGTAAACTCACCAGCCCTCTGCAGCAGAGATGCTCTGAAGGGTGCGTTTTCAAACACGCTCGAGTGCCTCATGCCGTGGCTTGTGTTCCTAAGTCCCTTAGGTGCTTTGAGAACACCTGCCTGTACTTCTCATGCAAATGCATTTTAACCTGCTCTTGAATTGTAGTAGGGACGAGTGGGTCTTTGCCAGGAGAGTTCAGACCTACAACCTAGCAACTGTTCAGGCTGTCAGGCCAGCCAAGACCGAGACATCCCCCAAGCCTCTGCCCAGAGACATAAGTAGGAAGGTTTACACCTTGGGTAGCATTCGCCTAGGTTGATGCCCAGCTTGCTAACCCCAGTCATGCACTTCCTCTCCCCAGGGGTGTGTATTCTCTCCACAGCGTGGACATCTCCCACTGGCACAGGACTCCAGCAACCTTCGCTAAGCTGGTGCTGGAATTAAGCTGCTCTTCTATCCCTGGGGAGAGGCACAGATGACTTTGGAGAGCGGCACGGCAAGGGGTTTTTCTTTGAAGCCCGAAGAAAGCAGGTGTTGCCTTCTCCTATTGCAAGAGGCTGTAAGGTTTTAGCGCCCACAGTTGCAGTGACCGAGGGCAAAAGCGGTCCTGCTTCCCCGTCACGCGGACCTGGGCGCGGATCTTCTCTTCGGCTGTTTCCCCAGGGCAGGCTCTCTGCAAACAGGTCTGCCCCAGGTAGGGACCACTGCTGCGGATGGGACTCGTGGGAGAGGGCTGCATTGGCTGCTTCTCTGCCAGCATCCCGCTCTGGCAGAGCCTGCGGACCCCGGCTGTCATTTCAAACACTCCCGGCCGCCGCGGCAGCGCGAGACTCCTCTTCAGGGAGAGGGCACGCCAGCTTGTGTCACGTCGCTCATCTCCTTCACCTTGTTTTGTTCTCGGCAAGCCAGGGAAGTGTCTGTGCGGTGCTGGGGGGGGGTCCGGGGCTGCCCCTCCCCTCCTGTTTCCAGGTAATGTGCTTTTCCATATTTCACCTTCCAGTTAAATAGCCTTTGCCGGCGCTAACTGTCCTCCCCACGATAATTGTAACCAAGCGCACCAATGCAAACCATTCCAATCGAGTGCTAATTTAATTAGAAAGCACCCATTTTAGTTAATTTGTTCGAGAAGATCACTGAAAACTCCTGGAGAGAACAGATGTTCCCCTCTCCCCCGATGAACATTCAGGGGTTTGTAAATGGCTCCACTCAGCCTTGTTTAGGAGAGAAAAGAGGATTTTATAGCGGCAAACGACCCTTTCTGTAAACATTTTACAGCTCTCTGCACGTTTGAGTGACGATAAACCCCTAGCAACTCGGCGGGCTACAAATTTGCGACCATACGGCTATCATTTTATTGTCATATTTCACGGTCGTAACGTTAATGGAAGATGCTCGCTACAGTCTTTTTTAACGGCTCCGCTGAGCACGCTCAAACACTTTCGCTTTGGAAAATTCATTGAGGTGCAGGGCTTCTAGTTTTGTTTACAGCTTTCACTTCTGGAGGAATGACTTCCCGAACACCCCTCCTCATGCTCGGCACCCCGTCGGACCCGGCTCCGGGGGTTAAACCAGTCCTGTCTCGGGTTGGACCGGCACCAAGCCGCCGCGGCTTCTGGCTCGGGGTGGGGAGGGCGCTGCGCTCTCCAGCTCATCCTGCTTTCTCTCCCCAAAAACTTTATGGAGACTCGGAGCCCCGAAGTCAGGCAGGGTCCAGGGGAGGGGATGATACTCCCTGGTCTGTCATCGTAGTTACCCAGGCCCGAGCGCCGTGGTATTGGAGTGTTGCATTTAAGACGGTGAAAACCCTGTGTTGAGCCATCCTTCTGCTGCTCGGGTTAGATGCCTGTTTTTCAATGCTTTCCTTGCTCTCCCCCATCCTCCAGCTTGAAATAATGCATGGGATTCTTAAAATCCCATGGCTGGGCAGCTCTGGGAAGCCAGTCCCCGTGACTCTGGGGTCCTCTTGCCGCATCTGCCCAGCTGTCCTGAAAGGCTGGTCAAAGCAGGTTTGGGTCTCAGGGACAACTTCTTCACTGTGCGAGCAGGGAGGCAGTAGAAAAGGTGCCCGAGGAAGCTGTGGACTCTATCGCTGGAGGTCTCGAGGAGAGGTTGGACGGTCACTGGGTGGGGATGATCTAGGCATAGCGATGCCTGTGCTCCGCTATGGGGGTTCCCAACTTCTGGGCTGTGCTGCTTGCCCCCTTTCTGCTCCATGTGTCGGGGGGGGGGGGTTCAAGCCTCCCCCAGAGGTGCTGGGGATGGGGCTGGGCTGTGCCAGTGCTCCTCTGGGACCAACCTGCCGGGTCCTGGCTGGAGGGTCTTGCCCCTGTGCTCAGGCTCAGACAGATGCTGCACTGGGAGCAGGAAGGGGTTTCCCCCCCTGCTCATACTGGTCTGCGCTGGGGGGGGTTTGCATTCCTCTGCAGCAGGGGCACAGCCTCAGCTTGAGGTCTCTTGAGCATCTATTAACAACCTTTTACAGCAGCAGGGTATGTTCCCCCTGCTTTATCGGGGCAGGTTCGGGTGTGATGTTTTGTGTTGTGTCAGGGTTGACAGTAGTTTTGCTAAGAGGTTAGAGTATGGATTTGTATAGGGTGGTTTGCACAGGGCTGATCCTGCCTCAGGCAGGGGTTGCACTAGAGGTGAGCTCTGCAGGTCCCTTCCAGCCCCGCTGCCCTAGGACTCTCTGATCAGGGCATCCTTTGCTGCAGGGGATCCTGCATCGGGCCTTACCAGTCACCGGCTGCCGGGTGGAGGATATTTGCACCCCGGCTGGGCTCAGAGGGACAGCTTCTGGAAGGACACATCCCAGCCTTGACCCCCTGCTTTCACAGAAAATAGAAAATGAGGGTGTGAAGGGAGCTCAGGAGGTCACATCTAGTCCAACCCCCTGCTCCAAGCAGGACCAGCCCCAACTACATCATCCCAGCCAAGGCTTTGTCTACCTGGACCTTAAAACCTCCAAGGATGGAGATCCCACAACGTCTCTAAGGAACCCGTTCCAGTGCTCCACCGTCATGCCAGTGAGAGAGTTTTTCCTAATATCCGACCTCAACTTCCCTTGCTGCAACTTGCCCAGAAGGCCAGGCTTGGGCCCAGAGTGCCTCTAGCTTGGGAGGCAGCACCTACGTCCTCTGAGACTGCCATAGGGGAGGGCACATGGAAAGCTGCTTTTGCCTCGCAGGGATACGTAGATTAATTAGACTTGGACTTAACCCTTTGCAGCACTGGGAGATAGTGACTGGCTCCGAGCGAGGCAAGTATGCGTTTAACCCCCTGCCTTGCCTCGACCCATGTAAACCAAGTGGACGGAAGATGCTCTCGCATCAAACTGAGACCATCCGCACCGGGAAAGCAAACCAGCATCAGCATGATTGCAGTTCAGCTGGGACATTTTTGTCTTGTAGGCAAGGAAGCAGCTTCTTGCAGGTGGGTCAGGCATATTGACTGCAAGACAGCCAGAGAGCTGAGTTGTCCCCGCAACATCCAGCGTGCCCCTCTTTACTTCGGGCAGGTCATGTGCAATCTAGTTAATTTAAACAGCGGGCTCTCAGCCTGGGTGTTTTCCTGCTGGCTGTCACTGGAGCACCTGAGTGACGCTGTACCGGGGTCGCGTGGCCGATATCTGCAGTTTGCAACCAGCTTTTCATCTGTCCTGCATAACATCTCATGCCCGTTGCAGTGTGAGCATCACAGCCCACCCCACAAGCCAGGAGGGGAGAGGAGAACGTCTCCCAATTTATGCAAGGGACCCTGCACAAAACGTAGCCAAATGTACGGAGGAAGCAGTCTGATGCAGCCCAGCTGTTTCCTAATCTCTCTTCAATACAGTCACGGAGGCCTTGCATGCAACAGGCAACACGTTCAGGCGGAAGCGCAATCTTTAACGTGATAGTGAGCCTTTTGCTTTACTCTGTGTGCCTCGGTTTCCCTGTTCTGCTTGTCTGTTACTTGTCTGCCTCGCCAAAGTTTCCAGGCTCACGTCCATGGATGCAAACGGTCTTGGAGAGCAGTGTGTTGGAAGCTTGTAGAGAAGGGGGAAGTCGGCGGCTGGAGTCTGGGAGGTGCGTTACTGAGAGCTGTATGAAATGCATGTCGTCATTTGTGTCCGGGGAAGGTAAAAGCACAGTCAGGGCGAGTATCGTCTTGTAGCTTGGCAGTGTCTTGGGGCCCATCTAGAGGCATTCCCCCCCCCAATCCAGGTTGCTGCTGCTGCCCCTGCGCCTTGCATGTGCCCTAGGCCTGCCACCTGGACCAGCAGCGACAGAAATGCATCGCTTCCTCGTTGTGTGTCCTGGGACTCTGTCATATTGCTGGGCATCCCCCGTTTGCTATGGGGTCTCGCTTTGCTACCGTGGGCAGGCACACGTACCCACCCCAGGAAGGGAGTGGGAGCGCAGTTCACGAGGAGCCTGGGGTGCCTTGCAGCCGGAGCCGCTGGCGCGCTGCCAGGGCGCTGCATTCTCTCTCCGCGCCGAGGCTGTTGCATCCTTTGTGCCATCTGCCTTCTGTAGCGGTGTAGGTGTTAGCAGTGGAGCAGGCTGGTACCCCTTGGGCTCTCGTGGCTGAGATCTGCTGCAGCAGATGCTGCGAAGGGACATAAAACGGAGAAGAAGAGGAATAAAAACCCTCCTGTTTATGGGATTTTCATCACCGAGGTCCACGGGGATGGGATTGCCCCCTGTGCTCCTTGCCTATCAGGAGGGCAGACACGGGATGCCGCCGTGGCATGTGTGGTTTACCCTGTTGGATGAAAGGAAGAGCAGGCAGGTGCTTTAACCCATGGCAGAGGTGCAAGTCCTCCTCTGAGCCCTGCCACAGACTGGCTCTTGTGATCCTCAGTGAGCCGCCGACCCTCCTGCTAGAGTTTTCCCAGCTGTGAAATGGGGTTAAAGTTTTCTCAACACTTAGGGATCTCGTGGAGGTGTTTGCAGCCCCTGTTGCCATCCCTCAGGAGAGCGCACTGGAGCTGCAAAGAGCCACGCGGCTTGTCGTTAGTTCTTGGAGCTCTCGTCCCTAAGCTAGCGATTCTCAACTGGGGTGCCACGTCCTCTCGAGGGTGCCGGGCAGTATTAGCATCGCTGGGTGTGCAAACACTGGCACACGGTTCACAAGATCAACCCAGAGGTTTCAAATAGGACTCCATCGGGTCAAAACCATTCTGCCCTGCTGAGTTGTTTTGCAACAGAAGCGTTGCTCTAGTACTTTTCTGTAGTCAAGAAACAAGACAATGCAAAGAGCTGGCATTTTTCGGGGGTGAGGGGCTGGAGTTTAAAACCACTGCCCCAGACGGTCAGAAACTCTCCCCCTTGGCATTGCGTGTCCTTGGGTCGGAGGGTAACGAGCAAATCCCACACGGAGAATCCCTGCTGTAGCCAGGCAAGGGGCGCAGCTGGCCTTGCAGCCTGTCATTTGCTTGGGCCCATTGCAGAGCGTCCCTGGGCTGAACAGATTTGCCCCATTCACTCCCCACGCAGCAGTGGGGAGCTCCCGTGTGTCCCCTGCCCCCTCCCCTGCTCGACTTACCCTTGTTTTACAGCGGGGCATGAACCCCAACTCCCCCCCCCCCCCTTGGATGTCACATCTGGCCCTGTGGATCCCCAGGGTCCCCGGCCAGCCCCTGTGCCCTCAGGCGTGTGGAAGGAGTTAATCAGAAAGCATCAAAACTCCTTTCATAATTGAATTAACAAACCTCTAATATAATTTCCTTTCTAATGCAAAATCTATCGAGCTGCAGGTAGCGCGCACTCGCTCGTTCCTATGGCAGGGCAATGTGTATCACTCTAATTGGTTTCCTGTTCAGCTCGCTGGATTTGTTCAGGTCATTAGTGACTGCAGCCTTTATTCCTGTGTCAGCAGGTGAGCTTGTGTGTTTTGGG